CGCCCCTGCAGTGTAGCGCCTTCCACCGCCCCCCTGGCCTGGGGTCCCCTGGCTTCCCTCCGGGCGCGGCCTCATGGCCGGGGCTCAGCGCTTTCGGTTCCGGGAGAAGCCCGGCCCTGGAACGGACGGGGCGGTGCTGGAGCTCTGCGTCCCGCAGGTGCGTGCTGCGGCACCCACGTGGAAGCGCTGCCGGGGTGGGGAGTAGGGAATCGGGGTCCCTCAGGGCTCCGCCTCGTTCGTTAGCAGCTGCAGGTTTGGTGTGAAGCCCGGGGACTGGGAGACACCCAGGGAGGGACGTGCCAGGAAGGAGGCCCTGAAGATTGATTTCTTGGGAAGGGACGTGGCTTTCTTGGCCTGTGTTGCTAGCTCTGAACTTTTTTGAAAAGCGTTTATTAATATCTCTCTCTCTTTCTTTTCGAGACAGGGTTTCTCTGTATATATAGCCCAGGCTGACCTCTCTGCCTCAGGAGAGCTGGGATGCGCAACCACACCCGGCTAATACATTCTAATTATTATTTTTTTTTTCCGAGACAGGGTTTCTCAGTGTAGCTTTGTAGACAGGGCTGGCCTCGAACTCACATAGATCCTCTGCCTCCCGAGTGCTGAGATTAAAGGCCAGCGCCACCACAGCCCGCCTTCTGGCTGATGTATCTTAGCTACCCCCTTCCCTCGGAGAACTCTTAATTGAACCCAGCCTCTACCTGTTAGGCAAGTGCTCTAGCACCGAGCAATATCCCTAACACACTTGTTCTATTTTTGAGCTCAGGCAGGCTTTGAAATTGAACCCCAGTTCCTCTCCATAGGATTGCAGGTGTGTGTCACCGCGCTGTTTCGTGCAATTCTTGGGATTAAACCCAACACTTCATACAAGCTAGGCAAAAGTTACGCCACTGAGTTTATCCTCAACCCCAGAATTCTCACTTGTAAGTTTTGGGACCAGAGATTCCTGTCTCCAACACACCAATAAAATCTTTTTGCATCAGCCGTGGCTTGTTCCTCTGAGTTTATAGCTACCGTAACACTGAATAATAACTATTCCTGATAGTCGGGTTTTACAAAGGGTTTTCAGGTTGTAGTGCTAGCAGCTGGCCCAGTAGGTGTCCCTGAGAGTAGCAGCGGAAGCAGAAGGTGCAATCCTACGGTGCAATCCTACGCTGCCACCTGGAGCAGCCTGCATTCTTTGCAGAGATTTCTACCCAAGTGAAGCAAAGATTGTTTTCTTTTTGGTGTTGAGCCGGTGTCCATATGTAGCCCTGGCTGCCCTGGAACTCCCTCTGTACAACAGGCTGCCGGCTGCCTCCTCCTCCAGCACCCAGCGGAGAAGCAGAGATTCTTGACTATATACTACAGAAAAACACTTTAGGGCAAATCAGTATGAAGCAGAGTGGGAAGATATTAACATAAGGGATTTAAGTTTGGGGATTAATAGACATTTGGAAAAGGACATAGAAGGTGTGGATACAGGCTTTGCAAGTGCAGGAAACTGCACTTAGCTTTTCTTTCTGTAATTAAGATCACAGAGTGGGGGCTGGAGAGATGGATGGCTCATTGCTTAAGGAGCACTGCAGCTCCTCCAGAGGTCCTGAGTTCAACTCTCAGTTGAACTATACACGGTGGCTCACACCATGTATAGTGGGATCTGATGCCCCCTTCTGGCATAAAGGTGTACATGCAAGTGGAGCACACAAATCTTTCTAAAAATGGTCACAGGATGAGATTAGTGAGGTACATTGGAAGGGAAGGCTTACAGTGATGTCATGCTACAAGGGCCAAAGGACCCTTTGATTATCCTCGGTCCCTAGGGTGCTGACATGTTTATAATCTTGTTTGTGAGATTCACAGAAAGTTGCAGGTTGCAGCTGGTAAAGCTGTGAGGTTTCATCCAAAGGTCAGATGTATTTTGGCCACAAGAAGTTCCTCTCTATATTATTTAACCATTTTAATTTTTCTTATATAGTCTCATTCTGACTGGTTGTCCTGGAACTGACTAGGCTGATCTTGAACTCACATAGATTCACCCGCCTTTGGTTCCTGAGTGCTGGGATTAAAGGTGTGCATCACTACACCCTGCTGGTTCTTTGTTATTTTAACTTTTGGGTTTGGAATACCTCTATAAAGATCATTGTTCCTCTGCAGACAAACGTCACCGTGAATTTTGTTAGTTGTACTGGAATTTGACCCGGTGAGAGACTTCAACCAGACTCTAGGATGGGATCTTTATTTTCCCATGTCCTTTCCTCACCCTGCCTCAATAGTTCAGTGTTAAAAAGAAGGACAGTGTAAGAGGCCAGCCAAAACAGAACTTGTTTCCTGTAGCCACCAAGTGACTTCATGTAAACACTTGTTACTTTGAGTCAGGGTGTTATGCCGAGGCACTGATAATTATTTGAGAAGATTTCAGTATGTAGCTTTGGCTGGCCTGAAACTACCAGAGATCTACCCTCTGTTGTGTTTAATTCGATTAAAACCATACACTATTCCCCCCTTCATTTTTATTTATTTTTTTTTAAGATTTATCTTTTGCTGGACATAGTAGCCCATGCCCTTAATCCCTCCTTTAATCCCAGCATTCAAGAGGCAGAGGCAAGAGGATCACTGGTAGTGATCCTCTACCAGCATGAGGCTAGCATATTATCATCTGCATAGCCAATTATTGGACATCCAGGACTGCATACTGATTTTGTCTTGAAAACGAAGAGCAGGAAGCACTCAGAACTGCTAAATCATCTCCCTAGCACCTATTTCCTCCCCCCGTAACTCCATTTAAATCATGTATACATGCTTGTGCATGTACATATATATTTTTATGTGCACTGATGTTTTGACTGCATGTATATCTATGAGAATGTCAGATCTTGAAGTTATAGTGTGAGCTGCCATGTGGGTGCTGGGAATTGAACCCTGGTTTTCTGGAAAAGCAAAGCTGTCTTTCCAACTATTATTATTATTATTTTGATAATAAAATTTTTATTATTCATTTTAGTCTTCGTTTGGGGCCCTCCTGTCCAGTGTTGGAATGAACAGTGTCCAACCACAAACATCCATGCACTGTTCTTGAGTGGACTGAATAAGTTTGGACCTCTGGTTCCTTTACGGCTTTGCCCTTGTCTGTCACCCCATGGGGGCACCCTTGTTGATTTTTGTTGCTAATATGCAGTGCTTTGTGCCCGGCATTATTTTTATTACTCTATGGAGACGGTATCTGCTGTTGAGCCTGCAGCCCTGACAAGTAAGTAGGTCGTGTGAAATCACACAGCTGCACCTGGTTTGAGTCTGGGGTGGAGTATGTGAGGATGGGGTGGGGAGGCGCACTAAACGTTCCCCAGATTCTACTTTGTTTGTTTTTGGAGTTTTATTTTATTTTTTTAGACAGCAATCTTGGAAGTCTAGCCCTGGCAGGCTTTTGATTTGCTGTGTAGATCAGGTTGATCTTGAACTTAAAATAATGTTCCTCCTTCCTAGTGGATGATAGGATTACAACTGGGAACTATATCCTGAATGATTCAAGTTCTTTCCAGAGGTTTTCTTTGGTCTTTCAGGATTCAGCTCCACATATGCCTCCTTTTGTGGGACAACTACCTAGGACTGCAGGGTTTGTCATTGGTATCCAAGTCATGCTTGAGGTAAAAATCTCCCAAAAAATAGCTAGGGACATAGTTGGTACAGTGCTTGTCTAACGTGAATGAAGGGCTGGGTTTGATTCCCAGCACCTCATAAAACTGGGTGTCCTGGCACACATCTGCAGTGGCAGAAGCTCATAGGCCTGGCGGTGGTGGCACAAGCGTTTTAGTTTTAATCTCAGCACTCAGGAGACAGAGGCAGACAGAACTATGTCTATAGAACGAGTTCCAGGACAGGCCTCAAAAGCTACACACAGAAACCGTCTGTATGGAAAAAAAGGAAGCTCAGTCATCCTAGGCTACATAGTGAGTTGGAGACCTGCTTAAACTATGTGAGACACTGCCTTGCCTTAAAAAAACAAAAATAAGGCTGAAGAGATGGCTTAGGTAAAAACACTTTCCTCCAAACTGGACAACCTGACCTGAATTCTGTCCCTAGATCCCACATGATGGAAGGAGACAACTGACTCTTACAAGTTGTCCCCTGAACTCCATGCATGTACCCTGTCCTCCAACAAAGTAAATGTAAGTTAATTTTTTTTTTTTTAAAAGAAACTTTCCAACATCATCTTGTACTTAGAGTTCGAAATTTCTGTGGCCAGCTGGGCGGTGGTGGCGCACGCCTTTAGTCCCAGCACTCGGGAGACAGAGGCAGGCAGATCTCTGTGAGTTCGAGACCAGCCTGGTCTACAAGAGCTAGTTCTAGGTCAGCTTCCAAAGCCACAGAGAAATCCTGTCTCGAAAAAGAAAAAGAAAAATTTCTGTGGCCAATAAGGTGCACAGTTAATAAACTTCCACTCCCCCACTCACAGCTGTGAATATGGTCAGACCAGAGGCACTTGTTTGGGCAACCCTGTCTCCGTGTGTTATACCCTTCATCCTGCTTTATTGTTGTAGCATTTATTACCAACAAAATTACTTTTGTTTCTTGCCCATCATTGCCAGTATGTAGTATGTACACTGTTTTTAACTATCCTGGATTCTCAGTTTAAATGCTTGTGGAGGGGCCTAGGTTTGGTTCTTAGCACCCATGTGGCTCAATCATGTTTAACTCTAGTTCCAGGGGATCCAATACCCTCTTCTGGTTTCAGAGGCACCCTGCATGCACACAAAACACTCATATACATCTTGTTGAGGGGCTGGCACTGTCACCCACAAAGCCCTCTCTTCATTTAGGAGGCTGAGGCAGGATTGAGGCCAGCCTGGTATACAAAGAAAGCATTGTGGTGTCAGTCCTGTAGGTCAAGGACGGAGAACAGAACCATCTAATAATGGATGTCAGTGACTTGACAGTACATAAAGGTAGGCTTTCACGCAAATATTTTCTTTGTAGGTCCTGCATGCCCAATATGGGATGTATGTTTGGCCCTGTGCTGTAGTCCTGGCCCAATACCTGTGGTTTCACAGAAGATCTCTACCAGGCAAAGCTGTCTTAGAGGTAACAGGAGCCCCTTGAATTTCCAATGTTGACCTATATTTACATCTATTAATATTTATTTTTAAATCAGGTAGTTTGGCTGGCTATAAAATCCCACATTAGTAAAATGTTTTCATATTTTTTAAAATTATGTATACATTGTTCCTCCTGCATGTATCCTATAGACCAGAAGAGGGCACCAGATCTCATTATGGATGGTTGTGAGCCACCATGTGGGTGCTGGGAATTGAACTCAGGTCTTCTGGAAGAGCAGCCAGAGCTCTTAACCTCTGAGCCATCTCTCCAGCCCCATAATTTTAAGTGGCAATGTGGTACACAGCTTTAATCCCAGCACTCAGGAAGTAGAGGCAGGCCGAGTGAGGATAGCCTGATATACATAACAAATTCCAAGATGGGCAAAGGGATAGAGAAACCCTGTAGCCATAAAGGCAAATGACCTGTTCTAGTGTAGTCAGTATGATTTTGCTCATACTGGTAACCATGGTAGGTGGCATTTCAAACTCATCCAAGCATTGTAAACTGTTTTGCAACATTTCTTTTTTTTTCTTGGCACTCGCTCTGTAGACCAGGCTGGGCTGGAACTCAAGAGATCCACCTGCCTCTGCCTCCCGAGTGCTGGGATTAAAGGAGTGTGCCACCAACACCCTGCAGAAGCAAAATTCTTTAATAAATCAGGCATGCACTACAAGCAAATTAAACCTTGATTTCCCACGTTCAAAATTTCAGACTGCTGGTCGACAGAGGCAGTGGTACCGGCCTTTAGTCCTAGCCCTCCTAAGGGGAGCAGGCAGATTTAAATTCAAAGCCAGCCAGTCTCAATTGGGATACATAGAAAAGCTCATTCATTCCAAAATTCCCTTTCCATATAGATTGGAGCTGGAGTGAGCCTTCCAGGGATTTTGGCTGCCAAATGTGGTGCTAAAGTAATACTATCCGACAACTCAGAGCTGCCCCACTGTTTGGACATCTGCAGGCAAAGCTGCCAACTGAACCACCTGTCCCAGGTACAGGTTGTGGGGCTGACGTGGGGCCACATCACTAAGGACCTCCTGTCTTTGCCACCACAAGACATCATTCTTGCATCTGATGTGTTCTTCGAACCAGAAGGTAAATTTAATCTGCAACAAACTAGCAGATTGTGTTGCATAAAACTCAAAAGTCTTTCTCCCCCCAGACTTTGAAAGCATTTTAGCCACAGTATACTTCCTGATGCAGAGGAACCCCAAAGTTCAGTTTTGGTCTACCTACCAGGTCAGAAGGTGAGTATGGCTAATTTCAGTTTACTAGCTTTTTGACATTAAGGAAAACAAAAAGCATGAGTCATAAGACAATTTATTACTTTTAAGTGCTGACTGGTCACTTGAAGGCTTGCTCTACAAGTGGGACATGAAATGTGTCCACGTTCCTCTGAAGTCTTTTGAGGCAAACAAGGAAAACATAGCAGGGTCTACCCTCCCAGGAAGACACACTATCGAGATGCTGGTGGTCTCCTTGTCGAAGAACAGCTTCTGAATTAGTGTCAAGTCCGACAGTCAAGGTTGTAAGCAGATGCACGCAATGGGCCTGAAGATGGATTTAAGACTTTGATGTCACACTCACGGGCAATGTTATTTTTAACAAATTAAAACACTTGAAACAACTTGGGCTGTTGTCATTAACCAGGACTGGGTTGGGAAGTGACACTTTTAAAAGATCTCAAGAAAATGCAACCGAAAAGCTCCAACTGGCATTATCCCAGTGAGAAGAGGTACTCATGATTTACTTTTCTACTGCATATGGGGGCAGGGGGAGAGAAAGACCAGGACACAGTCTCAAAAAAGCTAACACCAAGAAAACACTTTAATCAAACTACAGAAACAATGGTTATAGTACAGAATATTCATAAGCAAGATACACCATGTACTTACAAAGTTACAAACCATTTGCTTCCTTAACATTTTCTGATTAAGTTCATACATGAGGACAATCAGATTTACCATTTTGGGGGAAAGGGGGGTGTGTATTTATCATCAGCTAGATGTGCTCACTGTATGCTCCATTATCTATATTGCAAGGCCCGGGTGACTGGAAGTGCAGTTGTCAGGCATTTTAATAAACTGGACAGCCATTTGTTTCTGCACGACAAGGCATCTTTACACAGGAGCAATCAGGAGAAAACAGGAAACAGCCAAGCACTCTGCACTGCAACACGCCACCTTAACAGCTAACCAGCATTACTCAACTGCTACACAACTGCGCCTAGTGCACAAAAATACATAAGAGAAGAGATTAGAATTGTATTTGGTAAACAATCCTTTAAAAAAAAATTAAGTCTTTTCACCTGAAAAGTCTTTATACAAATTTGGGTTCAGATTATCATTTAGACCTGAAGGTAAATAACATATATAAACAAATTACACCAACTTTCGTAGGTTTTTAATTTTAAGGAGGGAAGGCAATGTTGAGTCAATCTGCTGACAGCTTTAGGCTGTGTGTAATGGCTGCAAACGTTTCCTTATTAAGTCAGGAGGCCACAAATTAGGTTACCAATCTGTTTAATTTCAAACAAAAAAAGTCAGCACTATAAACAAAAATGAAATTTTACCTCAAATATCCAATCCAATAATGAAATCTGAAGTCGCTCACCTCACTAAATTACAAGAAATTTGAATAACAGCAACAAAATGGCACATAAAATGAAGTTTGCCACCTGAGGCAGATTAAAACAAGTAAAAAGTTAGACAAATGTTACAAAATAACCTTTTCAATAGCCAGTTGCTTGTTCCAAGGACTCTTCCATGGACCGATGGACTGAGTTTCTGGTCCTTTCCCTCAAAGTCCTCTGTTAAGCTGCTTGTCGATCCATCTAGGTTTGAAAAGAGAAAGGTTCAGCTTACCTTCTACTACAAGGCACATGGTCTGTTTCAGGTAGTACTTACTAAGGCTCTGGTGAAACAAGTGGTTACAGAAGGTTCCACCGGGCCATAGTCACTTTTTAAAGGCCCAAATGAGAATTCTTCTAATGCCTACCACCAGCACAAGCTTGAAATGTGATTCTTGGTCAAATAACCAAGGCAAAAAAAAATAAAAAAAAATGGCAAGGGGGAAAAAAAAAAAGAAAAAGTGGGAGGGCAGGGTGGGGCTGTATCCAAACAAAAACTTGCTATCAGAAATTAGTCTACACTTTAAGATGTTTGAAAAGGAAACGTTTGGCAGTTGAGGATGTTCTTAATCAGCTACTTAGGGCCCTTTCCTTAAAAAAAAACAGGACCAAACAATTTGAGAGTTAAAGACACACTATCCTCTTCCCACCCAGTGCAATACCTGTAACTTTCTTTTGGGGTTTTCCAAAAGTTCACTGCTTCTTAATTGCAATTCATTTGCCACATCCATTAGAGTAAGAAGTCCCAGTCAGTACAACAACAGTTGAACTGATTGTTTTTCTCTATGAGGATAGTGCATCTTTAACGTTTAAAGACAAACCTGCTCCAACACACGCCCACAGAAACTGGTCCCTGGAGGATCAGCCAAATCAGTTAAAATCTGCAATACTGGCCAATATTCTTTTATCAAACAGGAGACCGCAGCTTTAAAGGGGGAAAATGCAGACGTTGGATAAAAACAGCAAGAAATAGTCATTTTCATTAATAGGTCTCAAACAGTATGAAACAGCCATTATTACTTAAGCTTTCTTTACACAATCCTCTCTGAAGACCCCTCTCTTCAGCATCACTCCCAAAGCCGAGTAACTGCAGAGCAATGCTCTTTAAACACCACGAGTCACTCTTACCGCTATAGCATGGCTCAAAAAAACCTACTTCAAACCCCAGGGGACTCAGGGTGTGTCTCGGATCCCTGCAGACATTACCATTTTCTTAAGAGGACACCGCGCCTTCTTCCTCTGGAGACTTGGGGGGGCTCTTCGAGCGCGACCGGGACTTGGATTCCCTCTTGGACACGGGGGGAGGACTTCTGGATCTCGACCTGGATCTGGATCTCGAGCGGGATCTGGAGACGGACGACGACTTGGACTTGGACCTCCGCGCGGATCTGGACTTGGAGGTGGAGCGTGAGCGCGACCGCGTGCGGGACCGAGACTTGGAGCGGCTGT